CTCATCTATGTAATAATGTGGAAAATCCTCCACCGTCGAGACTAGTACACCAGGATCTTCCGATCAATGATCCTGCAGACGCAAACAGATGGCACTAAGCTGCCGCAGCCGCTGTGATACCGGAGATACTCCAAAACTGAGTATGTTTAACGGCAGGACACTGGAGAAACATGACTCAAACCCGCTTTACCGCCACGATTTCCAGAAGTTGTGACCGAGACTCAAATCCCAGAGCCAGAATTGGTAAGCTAACGATCTGGCACTGCATAACGCGTTGCCCCAGAAGCGTTAGTAATCAAACAATACGCATTTGGGAATTGGCGAGGCAATTTGCTAGATACTCTTCATGAATTCCTTTCAGAGAGAAAAAGTGAGAACTTTGAAGTCAGTAACACAATACAAATTTCGTATTACTTACCATATAGTCAATTGCGTGACCTAAATAAAACAAAAACATAGATTAATACATCATCATCATCACTATTATTATTATTATTATTATTATTATTATTATTATTATTATTATTATTATTATTATTATATTTATTGTTTTTGTTGTTGTTATGCAGTTCATTCCATTTTTTCATGCATTCCATGCATACCTATTAGTTATAATCTCATAATTTTAATTTTCATAACTTCTAGTTTAGGCTTTTGCTATGAAAACCAACTCATTTCATTTTTTACCAAAATTGACTTTTTGGGACTTTATGCTATGTTTAAGGGGATAAAATTCACACGAATAGATGTTGTTTACAATCAGTTTATTCATATCTAAAACAACGAGAACGTATCCCTTTTATAAAGAAATGCAATGTAATTTTTTCGTACAATTGTCGCAAATTGAAGGAGTTGGTTTTCAACTCAAAGGCCTCTTGTTTGTATTCATCTCACATAAGCAATCCTTCACACTAGATAATCTATAAGCTATTATGGTGCTATTCATTTGAGATGTCCAGTGTAAAAGTCAGGTAAGTAGCAAAGGCACAAAGTAGACAAAAAGCTCCTTTAAGTTAACATGTGAATAGACAGTTAGGGAAGTTTCCTCCGACAAAAAATGCGAATTTTACTTATTAAGATATGCCTAGAGTAGTACTAAATATGCAGTATATGTTTAAAGTCAAAATATTTACCTAATATTTGTCCCCCAAAACATTTACCTTTTTCCAATCTTCAAAAATTTCAGAGCAAAACCAGGATAGTTCATTTATTTATTGTTCACTGAGAAAACAATAATGTTAAATCAACATGATTTACTTTATAATATTAAACTAATCATATGCAAAATAAAAACTACAAGGAATATAAAGAAGTAGATTAATTTCACGCACATCACTCATCGATATCATTTGAAAGAATGTGGTCATTTTTAATAGTTTTTATTTTTTACTAATAAGTTATTGCATATTATTGCCTTCGATACAGAGCTCGGTATACTCTACATAACTTACCGGGATCGAGAGGATCGAATTGACGAGGAAAATATGAAAACAGTTGAATGTTCTCTTATGGAGGTCATTATGAGAGGGAATTATGAAAGGGAATTATAGGAGAGAAATATGAAAAGACAAACCGAGTCAAGTTAACATCTAGTTAATTAGTAAATAAGTACATCTGAAACATTAAAATTACGTAAAAAATGAAATCATGTATGTACTACGGACGTTAACTGGTTGTAATGATTTTGGGCGACAAAAATCCCTCGGGCCAAAGCCGCTGAAGCTTTTTGTTGATAATCGATCATTAGAACTCTTATAACGCCCTTGGTGCATAAGTATTTCATGAGTCAGGGTTAATCCTCCTGGTTATCTCTTCTTATTTTAGGCATGCACTTCAAGAGTCTTTGAAGGCTCTCATTAGATGGTTATAGATATAATTCTGCCTTGATTTTAGTAAAGTTTACTTTTCTGAAAGGTATGTTTTCATTCAGCGTTTCCTTAAATAGTATTATGACATGTTTTTGTTTGAAAACCGTATTCATCTTATCTTGTGCCAAGAGATAGTTCCCTTGTTCTCTTTTCAAGCAATGTGCCTGATTGATTTTACACCCGGTAATTTCACTGATAAAAAAATAATTAGAAGTTATTTTTTGAACAGCGAATTATTTTGAAGTGTGTTTAATGCCTTTCACCCCTTGAGTGGATCCAATGAACCCGGATTTTGGTTCACTTCTTTCTATGCTTTTCGATTGAACCAAAATATTCATCGCACGCTCTACATGACTGCATTGGCCCAAGAAATGTATGATCATTAGGACAGTAATTATTACATGCAATCACGTGACGTAATGTACCGCTAAGAAAAGCTGTGAAAGCTGAATATCTCTTTAAGCATGACTCAGTGTCTTGAGATCCGCTTGTTGCAGTATCCCCCCCCCCCCAGATCACTTTCCAGGTTTTCAATTTAGATTTTCATAAATACTAAGTAAATAAAAAGAAAAAAGATCAACAAACCAATCCTCATTTTCTTCTAGTAGTAGTTTTATTCTCTGAACACCAAAATTATTCATAATAATTATTATCACATAAAACACTCGCACCCAAACACTCAAAGATAATCTGGCTCACTTGCCTGTGTTTTGCTCTCAACAACATTGCGAAACTTTTGTGAGTCCAAATTTTCATCGCACATATGACACCAGACATCGTTACGAAAAATAATGAGGAAGTTTCTCATGAAAGATAATATGACATCTTTATGAAACGATAATTAACTCGAGCTTTCAATGTTAATTACCTGCTTTTTCTTACGAGCTCCTCAATTGATTATTCAGGGAAATCGATTTGTAGTTGCTTATAAATTGAGAAAAAAATTGTTGAGAACATACTATTCTGTCATCTACGATCCGTGAAATGTAAGAATAGAGCACGAGAAATACTGTTCTGGCTACTAATTAAGATGCAAATTGAAGACCTGATAAATACTGGTTAATCACGAAGGAGATACAAAAAGGTAAATCAAAAAGAAACTTTAATGACACATGAAGTACCCATTGGTTCATGGGAAGTTTTAGGGTTGGATTTATTTAATTAACAAGTACAATGACATCTAATTGTAGATTGTTTTAAGAAGTATGTTGAAGTTTCAAAATTAGAAAATACCCAAGGTCACGCCATTGTCTCAAAACTAAAATTTATCTCTGCTCGGTTTGACAATCCAAAGGAGATATTTTTAGCCAAGGAAACACATTTTGATAATCTTAACATGAAGACTTGTGGGATCTTCAGGACCAATATAACTTCAAGACCTACTTATCCTCAATCCATTAGAAACGTTGAGCGACATATTGTCACAATGAAGCTGATGTCTAAAAAGTTAGATAATTCTGGACAATAACTTTTTCAGTACATATATTTCCACCGAAATTATATATCTTAATGAATTGTCTTAGACATAAGACTCATGGAAGCCTATCTGCATATTGAAAGAAAGATAATGTATATCAGAATGTAGCAATGGTTAAATAGACAAAACTAACACGTATTTACCACAGAATGAGTCATAATTTAAAATCTGCAGAGTTAGCTGACAAAGTACGTGAGAAAAGAAAAGAACACGTCAGGCGTTGAACCAGCCAAATGTTTGTGAGACCTGGAGATTTTACGTACTTCGAACGTGAATGTAGAGATCTTGTTATTAAAATCTGTTCTAAAAAATAGATCTTTAATAATAGTCATGAACAGGTTTTTGAAGAAACAAGTAGTTTTCATTTAATTTCGACATAAAGTTAATGCAAATTAAAAAAATATTTTCTCAAAAATCGCTCCAACTATTTTCTCCACTTTTTTCCACGTATATAGCAAAAGGAGCTTAAAAGAATGGGGCAAGTCTCATTTTCGCTGAACTCTCTGAATTTTCGAAAATGGTACATTTTGAAATAATTCGAGAAAGCATTGCTATCGTAGCACCACTAGTTCTTTGAATGAACTGAGACGAGAATGTAAATATGAAGACTGCCATTAACACCTAGACTGAACTTAATATCGTATAAATTGAACTGGAAGTCAAATCTACAATTAAATCATTCGCAGTCTTGTTTGTCGTGGAATAACTTATGAAGATATGTATATCTACTCACAAATTGTAATCCAGTGTTATTATATATTTTATTTAGTTATAATTAGTACTTTATACAACACATAGTACATCTGATATTACCGTAAGGTATTTTCACGATTATTAATCGTTTTGATTGCAATAAATGAATCCTTCATGATCAATACAATTTTAAAATATTTTTCGATCATAAACTCCTACAGTGAATAATGGGGGGAGTTTGCCCTAGATGCTGATTGACTGATTAGTTTCCAACTGCTAAGGTAATTCGTCCCGTAAATGTAGTGCACGTTTTATCGCTGGAGGTGGCAGTGATCTTCACCCGTAAAGTAAGGAGTGAGGGTAGGTCAAGGAAGAGGAAGGAAAAATCGCGCTTGGTCCGTCTATTAGGATTCTGTTCTGATATTCCCCTGGAGTTGAGCAAAAAACAAACAAACACAAAAACACACGGAAAACGTCCGTTTGAGAGTCAGAGCAACCGGCCGCTAGAATTCTCTTTCAGACAACGGCTGAATTCGACCTACCTATGTAGCTAGTGGTGAAAATCCTGCCACCGTCGCGTTTCGACCCCAAGGACCTCCCAGTCAGAGGCACTGCATTGACATCAGTTGATGCCCTGTGCCACCTCTCCCGGTATAAGACAGGACGATATGCTTGAGAGGTAGTGAATTGTTTTCTTAAAATACTTTTTTATGACAAAGGATGTACTGTATGAATGCGAATGACCAAAACATTACTTCTCGTTTAGTGTTTCAAATCCATTCTTGAACTTGTCTACGCTGTTGTTTCCTAGTAGCACATTCCCAACAGAATTTTGGCGCCTATTGAAACATTTGTTCTGGGAAGGAATGCTTACTTGTATGGTATTTATAACTGGTTAATTTTCACTACCCACTCTTTTCCAACTCACCGGAATTTTCGTGCTGCAAGTACAACGGGTCTACGTTGAAGGTGCGATGAAGGGCTGCGCTGTTCTTCACCCTGTCAACAAAAAAGTTTCCTTTAACAGCTTCTTCGATTCAGACTATGACAATGTGTACAAGAAAAAACAATTAATAATATGATGTGAATCTTCAGTGTCTAAATTCATGACATTTTTTTTTAAATATCTAAGGATACGATTGATCTTTCTCTGCCTCCGTCTGGTAATAATCCTGTGTTCAAAGTGAACAACGTACTCATTACCACTTAAAGAATGGCAATATTTACTATTTAATGATTAACAAAACAGTTAGAAACGAGCATTCACTACAAAAAAGTATAGAAAATACACTACATACAAAAACTTGAAGCTGATCATCTGACTATTGTAAGGCTCTGGCTAATCGGAATATTAGTACCGAAACTTATTAAAAACCCGATGGCAGTAGAAGTGATTTCAAGCTTGAAAAGAGGGATTATAAGAAAAAGTTGTGCGTCATCGGAATAGAAACATGTGATCCACCAATACACCCATGATTACAGAACTCAATTCATTTGTGTTGGAATTCTTTCTTATTTAATAGGCAAAATAAGTGGTGCCTGCTAATTTATTCTTGCCGCCTACTCAAGTCATGTTCAAAGTTTTATCTAAACGCCCGTTTACACTGCGGGAGAGAACGAACCCGAACGAACAATCAAATCCGAACCCGAATGAACAATCGCCGGCCGAATTCGAATTCTCCCGGCCGGTGGAAACGAACACCCTAGCGAATCATGTCCTTCGGGTGAGATCTGTTGCAGAAGCGAGCGAACGTACGCTCGGTAAGTTCGTTCCGAGTATGCGAATGCGGATGCCGAGCGAACACATTCGCTTGGAGCTGAGAGGTTCCGGGCCAGGACGAATATTTTCATTTCTATCAGCAACCCCCCGGATCGAAAGGTGTCCAAGTTTGTTTGCACGGTTGAAAATAATTTTTTCCGAAAGTTTTTGCGGGAACTGTACCTACTTGAGGAGGGATCTATGATGGAAATGGACCACATGTTCCCATGTTTCAGTTTCACGATACTTTTAGTAAAAATTCGATATCTGCATTCATCGGCAAGATTTTGTTCCCATGCAACATACGAATGTAAGTATTGAAATTCTCGATTCTGTGAGAAGTGTGTCATAACCTACATTACTCATGCACTTGATATGGTACCACACCATATACACATATATCTATAAAACACTAAACGTTCACATTATTCTTATTCAAAATATATTTGTCTGCTTTTATCGCTGATCCCTCAAATTTCATACTCTGCTAATTTAAGTCACGTTTATGGATAAGACAGTTCAAGAGGGGATTTATACTTTTTTTTGAAAATAGGAATTAAAAAAGAAATTCGATGAAAGCGTAGGCGTATATTTATTTTACAATATTGTTTATTTTTCTGGTGTGGCTGATTTTAAAGACCTAACGTAAGTCATTTAAGAGAAATAATTGTTTCAATCGATTAAAACTTGTTATTTGATCTCATTTCTTTGAAGGGGGTGCACTACACTTTGTTAAACAAGAAATTCGCTGCAAGTCTATATGCTATGAAGAAAAGCCACGAAACGAGCTACAGTGTACTTTGAGACGACCGATACTCAAAGAAGGAGCCATTCCCACGAAATGGCCAGGGTGTTCTGCGGGTAAATCCAAAAGAAAGCAGAAGGCTCAAGAAAATTTGCGAGGGACAAAAGCAGACAGCTTAGAAACTAAATAAAACTATGATAGAAAGGAAGCTCTTACATATTTTATTTTCTTCGCAAAAAAAAGCAACAACCAAGAAACAAAAGAAAGGACAATTGTGTAGAGTGAAGAGTGAAGACTGTCTGTTAGGTTTGGTTTGTGTTGTATTTTCGTTATCAGCAGTGGTTCTGTGAAATTTTCAAGTCAGTGTTCAACCACGTAGCTTTCTCAAGAGTAAAAACCTTTTCTAATATTTTTATGACTATCATGTAAAGCAAAAAGCTTACTGTCAAACAATATTGTAAAACTACTTCCAAATATTGTTTTTAAGGAAATTTGAATTGTTGTAAGAAATCTCTATATAATACTGAATAAACCTTTATTGTAAATTTGTTTCAAACATCAATTACATTGTTTTTATTGTTATTTGATATTTTATAAGAACATTAGAAGTTACCTTTATACATTTTTAAACAAATAAAGGCGTTTGTTTAACAACTTTCCCTCTTAATATGGAAATGGAAGAATAGGGTGGTGGGTGGGATTCAACTTGCGTTAGTTCTCGCAAGGATACGCTTTTTTTTCTCATTTATGCACATCGCCATGTATTTATTGTTTTCTTATTTAAGTTTAATAAATGGAGTTCTTAAAGTAATACTGTTAGACTGGTAACTGTCATAATTTGTCTTCATTGATTTATCTATAGGCCTACCTTTAATGATAGCACTCCCGAAAAAAACACCTTAATAGACATTTTGTGAGGTAGACCACTCTACCGCTTACAGCCTCATGTATTAAAGAATCGTACAAGTATTTATGCGTTTTTGTTGTGGACAGGTCGTATTTAATATTATTCTTGCAAAGTTGTGGAACTTAGCAAACTTCGTTAATGTGATTTTACAAGATTCATTGGCTTCATTTAGTAGTCTTTCTTCATGTGGTAACTGTGGTGGCACATGATCCAGTCGATAGGAAATTTGAAAACTGGCCGAGCTCATACTTACCACATGGCAGTGCAATCAAAATGCACCATCATCCACTTCGACGGGTTAAATGCGAAGGAATGGGCGTAGTGTACGCCTGAGAGCCAGCAGCGATACTCCGGGCACAGGAATGCCGTGCCCGCATACGCAGCGTCCACGTGCAGCCACATGCCCTCCTTCTCACCTGCGTTTATAAAACTTAATTGTTATACAATTAACTCACAGATATTTTTAATTATTTGCAACTATCCTAAAATGACAATCCAAATTATTAACTTGAGTAAATATAACATTATTTTACACAGTTGAAAAGGACAATGTAAATATAATAATATACACATTTTTAAAATGTTGCAACACGATAGAAATTGATTTGCTGTAATTTCTAAGTTCCAATATAGAATTTGACAATAGAAATATGTTAGAGTAGGCACATTTTTATTTCTAGCCTACTAAGTAGTTACGTAGTAAAAACAAAGTATTGTAATGCTGCAGTGGAAAGTGAAGGTTTTTCGACAGAAATCTCATATAATGGATCCCTGATTCCGCTAATTCTTGCCTAATTCTTGCTACTATATGTAATAAATTACATCCTCTGATACGTTGTTCAGCCAGGATCTACGTTCTATTTGACCTTCGTGGCTAAAAATTGGTTTTTCGTTAAACATCTTTTTATCCGTCCGTCTGTGGATAAAGCCAACGCCAAAACCGTAAACAGAATTTTCTCCAAAATTGATATTCCCTGATCGATCTGAACGAACTCGAGACCTTACGAACTTGATACGAATATTTTGATTTTTGAGAGTACTAAAGTACCCTCATGAAGTTTCCCCATTTTCAGTTTTTTTTTAAAAGTCTCAAAATATTTTTATAGACTTGTTTCTCGGATTGAGCAAATTGCACTTACAAAAATGGCGCAGGTTCGATTTCCTTTGAACTCTAAATTTTTGAAATTTGCAAAGATTAAAATTTTTTCGGCGTCTTCCTAGAATTACGAGCCTGATTATTGATACATTTGTTTCTTGCATTTATTGCGTGAGAAAAGATAGTATTTTATTCAAGGCTTTGAGAGTTTTAAGTGGATATTCTTGATTTTTGAGGATACTTTACATGAGACTTCAAAAACATTAGCAAAAATGTTTGAAAATTTGCTCCAAATTTGTTGATTAAATTATGTCCTGGGATAGAGTAAAGAACGCTTAAGAAAATGGTTCAGGTCACATGTTCGAATTTTTTCGAAAACTGCAAAAGTGGAATTTTCTGGGCGTCTTTCTACAACAATAATAGTCAAGGTAGATTTTTTCTGATTGAAATCTGTTCTTTAAAGGCAGATATCTAAATAAGTTTATATTCAATTTTTTGAAAAGATGAGTAGTTTTCCTGTAATTTTGCGCTAAATATTATTACTATTATTATTACTGTAGCCTATATACAAGAACCTATTACGGCTAAGACCTCCCGCTTAATGCGGGGTGAAAAACTTGGTTCGTTCCCCTAGATTAAACCAACGAATTGATTTCCAAATTCCGACACGATCTAACATTCAACAGTTCAACAACCACTACAAACACTTCACAGATAATACTAAGGTTTATATACAATAAACACTTCACTACTTTTATGTACATATAGTTAATGAGGAAGACTGCATATGTCCCGTTCCACCTGCCTCCAACCTCCTCTGTCGTGTGCCAGTCTAAACCAAAGTGGATCGGCTGTCGGTTCATCTGGTCTGCGGTCTGTCTGTATTCCTCCATCGAAATATCGGGTCACAGATCGTTGTAGTGTAACGTTTGACAGTAAGGGTTGATCTTCAGAAACTCACAAAACCAATAAATGCTCCTCGCAAGTTCTTTAACATCAAGAATATTAATACAAGTTTTTTTTACCATTCAGGATCATGGAGCAGGGGATTAGCAAACTAGATGTCAACTGCACGAAGGATACCTGGCACCCAACCTGGCATTTCACACGTTTCCACCGCACTCAAAAGTACCATAAGAGCTAAAGATATTTCTAAATATAAACATATGGTATCTATGAATATTTGTCGCGAATAGAACTGTGAAGTTTGTGGGTATTGTTGGTATAATATGTCGTAAATTAAACTGTACCTAAAATATTATGACCATTCTTCAGCGCCTGCTTGCCGAGATACGTAGTTCAGTAGTAAACACTAATATTTTTGCTTCATTGTCATATGCCCCATTGTTTCTTCACCTTCAAAATTATGTTACGAAAAAAAGATTATGTGTAGTTATATTCGGTGTGTTGAAATACGAATTTCCTTTTCGTTCCTTGTGGTTATGTTTAAAGAATACGTAATGTGTATTTTGAAATGTTACTTAAATTTTTTGGTGATCCATCTAATGTGTAAACGAACCCGATTCAAAATAGCAAATATAGAGTTATGCTTACTTATGGTTTCTGTAAAGAAACGGGAAGTTCTATAAAAATTATTTAAAAAGGGGCTGAAATACTGTATCACAAAATATATTTAATTGTCTGAGAAGGTTAACTAATGAGGGTTTGCGAGGCAAAATTTTATTTGGAGCTAAGGGGGCGCCATATGATACATAAAAACGTTAGATACGTGGTAAACAATGAGGAGTTATTGAAATATAACTGCATTATTTTGGTTTGAAAAAATATTGGTGACGAGACCTGGTGGTAACACATACAAAATGCTACTGCACTAGGGAGGATACTTTCTTGAAAAAATTTTCTACTTACATATAGGACCTATTTCGTTTAAATTGTCAAAAGAACACGCGCCAGTTGTTCCGAGAGTCGCACAAACCTGAAACACAACAGAGAATTAGTTTAGAAAACCCCGAAAAATTAAAGTACCAAGAAAATGTAAAAAACCAATTAGTATTTTGTTGCTTAATTGTGTGGGATGGATTATTTTGACATGTAATTCTATAAACAGTTCAACGACAACTGCTACCAATCTAGTTCATTCCAAAAGTATCGTCTTAATTTTCCTTAAAATGGATGAAAAGGCTAATGTAGATAGTTGGCGTTCGCTAACGTGCGCCCCCGCATGCCAGTACCTCGCTGGCTGGCCTTGCCCGCGAGAGACATTTTTCTTTATTGTGGATACATCAAATTAATTTCAGATGCTGACTATCAACACATCACCCCCCACCGTAGTTAACAAAGAAAATAAAAGGAAATGTTATCGATGGAAGCATGGGATTGAGTTGGTAGCGAATCGCTTTGAAACAAAGAGATATTGCATGTGTTTAGACAAAAATCAAAGAGCATGTAGCGCCAGAACATGCTAGACTAATCGGTCAAAGTCTGACGGCCGAGATCCCCTGACGTATCTCCCTGTGATACTTGTTTGCGAGGTTTCTTGAGGGACAGTGTATACAAAAATAATTCAGAAACAATGGTATTCAGGAAGACATTTTTCAACGACGTTTCTAACCGTCACCTTATCCCCCAAAGCCCGTGTCGGGCTGTCGAGCCCAGATCAGGACAGGAGAGGTAACTGAAAAGTGGATCAATCTTGTCCCTATTGTGACCGCTCAGCCTGAGCCGGCTGGAGCAGCACAATCCTTGGAATGTTTAAGCGACTTCTCTCAATCGGCAACACCAAGAGTTGGCTCCGCTCAACGTAGTGAGAGCACGTGACAAGAGGAGTGAGAGCTTGATGCAAAGGGGCGCGACGGAGGGGTTGAGTGGGCAAATGGAGGGGTTGTGCGGGGCTCGCACCTCGTAACGCCTTCATCGCTCTCATTTCCTTTGGCGGCGCTACGTGAAACACTTTACGGAAATACTGTAGTTATACTTTCGAGCAGATTTGGAATTGGAGCGATACCTGCTGAAGAATCATTTAGTAAAGTTCACAGAGGTAATTATTTAGCTATTCGTGAAACAATTTATGATGGCAAAAGAAAAACCTATTCTTGTAATTTGTATAGTGCTAATGAGCATAATTGGATTAAAGCTTTTGTAATTAAAGTTCGGAATCATTACTGGTTCGGATCAGAATCTGAGGGAGATTCTGGAACGATTTGGATGTTGCCTGGCCACATTGGCAGCGAATTCCCTGCCACTTGGTCGGAAGGCTTTAACGGCAATTCTGAGGCGTTCTGCAGTTCGGTGAATACACGGATTCCTGTTATTCTACATGCTTCAGAGGTGATTCAAGGAAACAGATGACCCTGCCAGTGTAAGATTATTGATTCTATTTTATAATCAGAGAAGAAACTTACAAAACAGTTTCGTGAAAGCCATGTTAATATCGTAATTAATATGTGTTTAATTCACCTATTCTAGTTACGTAAACCGTTAGTAAACGCAGCCATTTACTGCGTATTCTAATCCCTCTGTTTTTCATTGCGGTTGCATGGAATATTAAGTAAATGAAAGATAGTCTTGAAATCAAATAGATTTATATATTTTTGACTGAAATATGTAAAAGAAAAAAGAAAGTGATTTCAGTTGAAGAGTAACTTTTGGATAATTTTACAAGCCTATCGAATTCTGAATGAGTGTGCTAAAAGAACATTGTAATTGTTGTCAACATGATTAAGAATCAGTCAGAATAGTGTTAAAGGATTTTGAAAATGTTTAAATGTAACAAAAATGAGAAATTATTAGTTCTTGTTAGTTAATTGATATTGTCAAAGGTACACTTATAGAACTCTAGAGGTGATTTACTGTTTCTGAGAGGGTGGAATTTCTGAAGTGATTGGTTTCATATGTTTTTTTGTGTTGTTTTTTTTACGTAGTTCTGGATTTCATGTGTTTCTTTGGCTTTGTTGTAGTTGTGTGTATTTAAACCTTGATGAATACATGTGCAATTTGTTAAGAGATATCTTGTTTTTTCTCAATTTCCAATTTCGAGTACGTTCCCTCAGACCGTAAGATCCACGTAGTGGAAACCGTAATATGTGAAGGCTAGAGTGAAACATTTGGCAGAGATATTACTGGTTGTCCGTCTGATCTTTTTTTCTATTAGTTGATTATTGCGCGAAATCCTATGGGCCAGCCGGGGCGTTTGGTTTGTAAAAAAATAGGGGGCGGATGTCTATATGCGTTATTTACTAAATTACTTCTTCTAACACTTTGGGTAGTTAAAATGCGTGTTTTGTGCGACTTCATACCGAAAAATCGATCGACGACAAAACGTGTCTGCCATGAATACTACATCCTAAACCGTTCATACGATTTTTTCCAAAATTGGTATCCCCGCCCAATCTCAACGAACTCAAGGTCCTACGAGTTTGAAACGGTTATTTGAATTTTTGGGAATATTTTTCATTTAGTCTCCAGAATGAAATTTTCTCAAAAAAGACAATTTGTAAACAATACAAAAAACGGTTGGAAGATTTTTCTTTAAACTTCTTCTCATATGTATTAAAGAACGATAAAAATATGTCGATGACCTTATTTTCGAAAAAGTATTTTCGAAAATTGCAAAAAAAATAACATGGCAAAAAACAATATTGAAGATTGAGATATTTGTCTAAAACGAAATCTTAAAAAAAAAATGAGATCTTTAAAATTACATCATATCTTAACAAATCATGTACAATTTTTTTAATACACGAGTCATTTTTGCGGATTTTCTGCTTGAATTTTATGCTATTTATAATACCTTTTTCTCAAAAACGACTGCAATATTTTCTTTAATCCCTCCTGGATAGGGCAAAGGACTCATTTTCGATAATTTTTTGAAAATCGCACGTGTTGGAAATAATGGAAAGGACCATTATGTTTTTAAGCGCGAGTGAAAGTGATTGCTAGAGTATGGACTTTTATGTATTTACATACATTGTTTCTTACAATTTAGAAAGTGACAAAGGAAACGGTTTCTATTTTCACGCCATTATGATAATAAACATAAAATATTTATATTTCCCTTCTTCCCCTTACTCTGAGAATACCAACTGAAACGTCTCCTATTTTGCTCTAATAAGATTTATATGGAATACACGAAAATAATATCTCCATATGGTTAGTTTAATATAAATAAACAATTTTCCTACGTCGTGGAACTCATTTCCCCGTTTCAATAAATTTATTTAAAGGTTTGAATCCGCGAAGTCCGGAAATCTATCATCGATTTTGTGAACTGAAGACGTACGTTTGTTGTGCTCTTGCTCATGATTAAACAAGTAATAGCTGAAATGTCCACTAAATTCATATTGTCCAAAGATATTGACCTCAAAAGAAAAAGGCCTACTCAATCGGGAGTGATCTAATACCCAGCAAGTTTCTAAAAGAGTAACTCAAAATTAGCAATACCTACAAAAGATAATTATAAATTTTTATCGAGCACAACCTTTCAGTTTGGGTTAATAGGGTATTTTTGCACAGCTTAACGTTCAGCAATTGACTGCAATCTCGATTTTCTACGCATGCGCAGATGCACAAAAGTTATGCGAAACTCAAACTACACTTGCGCAGAAGACTGATAGTGCTGTCAACTGCTGTAACACTTCACCGTGCAAAAAGTCTCTAAGAATGCGGTATCTTCTCGCTACACGTAGGAACCAAAATCAACCCAAGTAAAATGAAATTAAAATTCCCCAAAGACAATTTTCAGTCACTTTACTTTAGTTACAAATATTCCACAAACAGTAGAATAAATTCGTTGAAATATAACTTTTTTTATTATCTACCACTTCATTTGGGAGGTGCCTAATGAGGTTTCTTCAACCAGAAAGAAAAACTATTTTGATTGTAATATTTTCATGGAGTGGTAAGCGTAACGTAACTTGTAAAGAAGTTCTATGCTGATTATGGAATAAATAAATTAAATAAATAGATAAATACAAGTTTTCGAAACATGTAAAGGGAAGAGGAAGGATACTTCGAGCTTCTGACGTCGTGGTGGAGAATAGAATGGTGAGACATCCTCACAGCAACCGCAAATGAATTATGTTGTGGAACATGTTACTTTAAATTCATCCCTTAGTGCGTATATTACGGTTTTTAAACATTCTTCAAACATCACGCACTCGGTCGCGAAGAATTTTGGTGGGTGCTAGTCTGCCCCTGATGCAGTGGGAAGCCGCGAGTCAAGGGACGAATAATCAAATGCCACCAGCCGCCAATAAAGCACGAAGCTTAGGCCGGAGCAACAGCGGCTCTAATACTCGCGTAATGAATACCTCCGGGAGTTGGATGCCGGAAGGGGCGGGGGAGGAAGAGAACAGTTGTTGGGGAAGAGAAAGAGAAACCGAAGAGGGAGGGAGTGGATGGGGTGGGCGGATATGGACCGCAGACGCAGAGCCGAGAGTGGGCTTCCCCAGGCAATTACTGCAACGTTGTTGCGAGGAAACCGATTGCTTGTCAGGTCCCTTAGTTTCATTCCACTAATTAGTGAAAAAGATAACATGCAATTTCGTTTTCATTAGATGTTGTATGCGACTGTGGATTGTTACCATACATGTTATTATAATAAATATCAAAAAATAAATATTGTGTAGGAACAAAAAGTGCACATCTTTTCATTAAATATAAATTTTCAAAATTTAAAATTAAATGAAAGGTCACTTAATAATGTTAATCACGTAATAAGTTAATCATTATTAAGATATAACACTTTTCAACATTCTAGAATTATAAATTGATAATAAATGTGTAGGTGGACCACGTAAACAGGCTACAGCAAATATCGTAGAAACAATTAGAAGAATTGAGAAGCAGTTTACAGCACGTTATTGTAGGTGATTGGAGAGATAACATACTTCGTTTTGTTTGTAATATTTTCATTTTTGAGATATTGTTACGTTTGAATTTTTACTGTCTCTCCTTTACTTCGTAAGAGGAGGGTAATCATGCGACGGAAAACGCACATTTTTGACAAGAAAGGCTTATTGTCATGCACTGGTAACGAAAAGGTAGATAAATCTTGTTCCTATATCTAGTAAATTACCTATTTTAACACGTTGTGCAGTCAGAACTCTTTTTTGTGGGTTCTTGATACAAAAAATCGATTGACAGCAAACCATCTGTCTGCGCGTTTGTCTGTCCGTCTGTGGTCAAGTCAAGCGCCTACACCATTTAGCCGATTTTCTCCATAATTTAAAGTCGATTTAGAATATTTTAGATTTATTTAGTCACAAAACAGTAAAAATATGTTTGTGACGTATGGGGGAGAAGATCATCTGATATTAATATTACTTGATCGATTATATCATTCAATATTATTTGATCGATTTAAATGTACTCGAGGTTCCGTGTGTTTGAAACGGATTTTTTCATTTTGGAAGTACTTTATAAAAATCGTCAACATTTACAAAATTTTCTTAAAAATGGCTCCAAATTTATTGATTAAACTTTGTCCTCGGAGAGCGTAAATGGCGCTTAAAAATGATGCTGTATGCACATGTTCGGTGAAATCTCTGATTATTCGAAGACGCTTAAGAGAATGGTTCCAGATCCTATTATCGAGAAATTTTCTAATTTTTCGAAAATTGCAAAAGGTCATTTTTTTGAGTTTTCCTACAACTAAAAATATTTTATAGAAAGATTTTTCAATAGTAAAATTTGCTTTTTTTAAGACGGATTTATTTGTTTGTTGTTTTGTTTGCTAGTTCTTTTGTACATAATGCGTTACCGTTGATGATATTGCGATAAAACTTTATTGCAGTTCAGACAAAACTGTTCAGACTCTCTACGCAACGGCGCTCTATGCAACCTGCAGCACCCAGAAGTATTAAGAGTGTGTGCCCCTGCGATTGTGAAATAACGCCCGGGAGAGATAGGTATAGAGAGAAAGAGAGAGTGTGTGAGAGAGAGAGAGGGTGAGAGAGAGAGGGAGAGAGAGACACACAGACATAGACAGAGAGTCGGAGAGAGAGAGTCGGAGAGAGAGAGTCGGAGAGAGAGAGTCGGAGAGAGAGAGTCGGAGAGAGAGTCGGGGAGAGCGACATCCATTTCCTCGCGTCACTTTTGAAGAACGTGGAGAAACGGGATCCATCGCTGTACACTCTCCATACTACAACAACGCCTCCAACTTGCCGCTGAAATCCTCTAACCTTGCGCCAAGGGAATTCGCCGCCAAGGTGGACGAGAAACATTCCATAAATTCTCGGCTATCCGGGAGACGCCGCGTCGTTGGCTGGGGTGCCGATGTTTCACCTGACATGTCGCAGGCTTCCTCAGGGCAGTAACTGCCCTGCCGTCTCCCGGATAGCCGATAATTTATGGATTCGAGCCGCGGAAGCTTACGTGTACACAAGAAACATTCCACTCGCCCCAGAAACGTTTTCGGATTTTGTACACGTATTCAGATTTTTCTAAACTCTCATACAATAAAAGCTCTGTAATCGAATTACCTCATTAGCATCATAAATGTTACGAGAGTAGGTCTTTCTTCTTCATCGTAAATTGTTCTATGAATAATTTTATATTTACCTTTATGAGTTTTTCAAAATCTCTTTATAGACGGTCTCGCTCCAAATTCCAAGTCATCCAGCTTTTAACACGTATAACAACACTATTCCTGCGAAGAGTACTACGCTACGCCGCCAAAGGAATTGACAACGGGGAAGGCGTTGGGAGGTGCGAGCTCCGTACAACACCTCCCGTTCCCCTGTTCCACCCCTCCGACGCTCCCCAGCGCGTCAAGGTTGCAGTCTCCTTCAAATGCCACGCGCCGTCACTCCGTTGCTGTGCGAAATCTAGGTACTGGTTTTATATTATACAACATTGTATAATATATTATTGCACTAAAATGTTAAAACTGTCTTCTCCGAAAATGTTATGTATTAGAAGAATGCAAGTGAAATTTCAGGTACTGGTTACGATAAACAGTCAGATATTGCTTTGACTTACGTAAAAATATATGTTATATTTTTAAAATTTTTCATACTGTTATTGAATCGTTAACATTTTAATATTAATTACGTCTTAAAAACGTAATTATCGCCCGAACGTTTCCCCCCCCACTTCCGTTTCATCATTGGAACACTGTGCTCGCCGCAGTGTCAGGCACTTCCCTTGCTCCGTGGCTCGGCTCAGAGCAGAAGAGCAGATTTTTGCGACATCACAGAGCATTGAGTTGGCAAGCACTGGCTTGTGCATTAAGCCCTAATGATTCAAGAGATGAAATGTTATGAAATACAGAACTTTTCAATTAAAAAATAATTTAATTCAAAAAACGGTTTTGTGACCTCATCCGCTTTTAATTTTTTAAAACTATATTGACATGAGAATAAAATCATATTTGTGTTGTAAGCATTGTCAGAAACATTATCATGAAATAGCCATCTAATGCAAAAAGGGTACATGTTTGAAATTTATTTTTGTAACATCAACGATGTTAAAATATATCTCAATGTATTTTGTAGTATATTACGTTCAGACACTGCAAATGTATCTGCAGAAAAGTTACAAAATAAAATATTAATAAGTATTTTTGCAAATCGTTTTTTTCTATCTCTTGTTAAGTTACGAACATATAAGCTGTACCCTTTCTACTTTGGGCAATTCATATGCTAAAATACCCAAGTATAAGCGGTGTCCGCTGCTTATACGGTTGTAGACAAATTGTATTAATACAGTACATTACATCAGGCTGCACAAATATAACTGGACGAGAGTACAGAAACAGGCATGATTCAGTAGCGAAAATAATCCAGCAAGAATTGGCCTAGAATTACCAATTAACATCTGAAGCACGAGTTCCGCACTGTGTGTATAACCCGGAGAGTGTTTTGGAGAATCATTCTTATCGGCGTGCTGGGACAGAACGATTCTCACAGACATCACAATCTGTAATCGACCAGATGTTGTTATCTTCAATAAAACCAGTAGGCAAGTCGATATTATTGATGTCTCAACCCCTAACGTTTACAATCTTCAGTTGAAATCACAAAAAAAAATCTCTGTGGATCTCTGAGTCTATCCTTGAAAAATGGAATGCTGGCGGAGTGAGAATCATACCTATTAAAATATCAGTCTGCTGTACATTGAAAGTTATAAGCATGAAAAACCGTAAAATTTGAATTTTATTTTGGCGGCTATATCTATGGACAAAACGTATTGTGTAGAGAAAATTTAGTAACTCTAAATGTCGAAAAATATGTATGACGAAAAGAATTGTGAACGTCAGGCAATATATAGTAGAAATGTGTAGAATATTTTTGTTGTATTACAATCAATAAGTCATTTTTGCCCTGCAAAAGGTGAGGTAGAAGATTTTATTTTGTTTTAATTGTTATTAGTAAGAAAACCTGAAGTTTTCCACCTCGAAATACTTCGAAAAAATTTTTCGTAGCCAAAAATCCAAAACAAATTAGTTTTTTTGTTTTTGCGTAATTACTTTTTAATGGTTGACAGCGCAATAATATAATATTATAATTACCTTAAGAATTCAAAAATACTACATTAGAGAGACCAGTAGTAATTTTGGGCATTAGGAATGTTGGGAAAATTTAAAATCTCGTGTCTCTGTTCCTGTTTGCTTAAGAGAAATAATTTAAAAACGAAATGTGTAGAGAATTTTATAATCTTTAAAAAATTGTATATAACTACTTTTGCGCTAAGATCATCCATTAAATCGTTATTACGCAAACACCAAAAATTGCCGGATTTTTTGTGTGTGTTTTGGCTACCAAAACGTTTCCCGAAGTATTTCGAGGTGAAACACTTAGGGTCTTCTCACTAACAACAATATCAACAAAATAAAAATAAAAATGTTCTTCCTCCCCACGGACTGCACTGTGGAGGTGGAGGCTTGCGTTGCACTCACGTAGAAGGGCACCAGCCCCTTGGCGCGGTCGTGCAGCACGGCGGCGCGCAGCGTGTCTCCGCGCAGCGCCAGCGCGGCGTCGCTCTCCAGGAAGCGCATGCGCACCAGCCCGATGAGCGCCGCCTTCTCCACGGACGAGTGCGCCTGGTCGCTGGTGTAGGCCACGAGCCGCGAGTTGAGCTCGGCGTCCTGCAGGCGGCAGCAGCCGTGGTGGCGCAGGCGGCGGAGCGCTTCCGTGCGCCCGGCCAGCAGCGACACGAGGGTGGCCTCGCTCGCCGTCGTCTGCGGCAGAGGGCGCCCTCCACAGCCACTGCCCAAGCGCTTCGCCAACCGGAGTAGGGTATGCCACGATCAACTCATAATGCATGCACATTTGTTACCAACAGTCTCACAAAAAATAACAACCAAAGCCGTTTAATACCGTTTAATAGTGAGAGCGAAACCATTGTTATTTCATTAAATATGATGCTGGAACCGGATCCCAATGGGAATCAAGTGACTCATATGGGCCTGGCGGAGATTACCAATGTCCGTAAGTAATCACTAGTAAATATCAGAAATTCCCCTTGTAATGGGGTTCCACGATTTGGGTGAAATGTCAGCAAGTCCTTCTATCGCCTCCACATCGCAGCTTCTGGTAATACTCTGTGTTGTGAGTGCAGAGAACTGCTAGTGATAGAAGGCGAAAGGTGTGTCTCCGGCGCCTTAAAACGGGAGCACTGAATTAAGAGAAGGAAACATTTGACAGAAAGTCAAGGGTAGGGGGTCTAAGCATTGCAGTGAAACGAACTCAATAGGGGAACTGATCAAAGCCAGGCGAAAGCCGGAGGAGTACCCTAAGAAACGGGCCGTGGACCGCGCGCGATCTTTCCTTCCTTTTACTTGATCTGTCCTCACCCCTTACTTACACGCACTTACACTAACATGCACTACACTACCATATATGCCGGGAGACCGGTCAGGAGCTTAGAGATTGTCCAGGCTTAGGCGATGGTGGGAGATACCTGGTTCAGGAAAAGCCCCCTAGCCGACGGTAAGTCGGCGCAGGATCTCGCCATCCGGAGAGAGAAGACCACTCCCGAAGAGAACACATGCTCTACATCTACGAGAATAATAACCCTAACAGTAGACGTGATTGGAATCCCTATCAACCAACCAACCAACATCCAAAGGAGAAGGAAACCCCGAAATCAAACCCAATCCACCAGTGAGGGGATTAAGAATAGGGTTGGCGGCCCTTGTAAAAACGATTGTCACGAATCCTAACGATATTCCTCCGATGTCAAAATATAACTCATGCTGACGACTTGGCAAAGAACACGGATAAACTGTAAAATAATAATGGCTACTTGGAACATTAGAACTGTGCTTCAACCAGAAAAAATGTTGGAGATCCAAAAGATACTAAGAAATATCAATTTGATATTATTGATCTTCAGGAAGTAAGATGAGAAGGTAATTGTAAAATTGATAAAAGAAATTTTACATTATACTACTCAGGACGAGATTTATAACTAATGGTCGAAGAAAAGTATTCAGTCCCTTGTACCATTAGGGAGAACTGTAAAATCGTATTCATGGGAAGGTTTCCAAACATCACTTTATTTCCTGCACTTGCTCCAACAGCAGAAAGACCAGACGATAAAAAAAATACTTTTTATGGCAACTAAGGAAATGAATATAACAAAATACCAAAATATCATATAAAAAAAGTATTATGCAACTTCAACACAAAATTAGGCAAGGAGCAAAGTATATCCACAGTTTCAGGAAAATCTCTCCATAAAGAAACCAGTGAAGAAAGACAATTGTTGATTAACTTAGCATTAGCGACAAACCTATTGATAATGAGCACATTCTTTGAGGATAAAAACAAACACAATGGAAAAAACTAGGACTTCATCTTTACACCAGATATGTTATAATAAATAGGCAATATTTTATATCGATAGATGATGTTAGATTAGCAAGGGGACTACATTTTAATAAAGATAATTATCTAGTCCAACTTTTAACAGAAAAATTATCTGTAGCTAGATACGGGCGAGGGAGTAAAAGAAAAGTATAAGACAATAATGGAGAATAAAGCAGAGACAGTAACAGAAAAGGAAAATGAAATAGTTGGACACATATTCAATTCTTTCTCCAATTATTTACTTTTTGCAACTACTACAACTTTACTTCGTTTTCCCTGTAGGAAAACAGTTTAAGTGCATTGAACGAGAGAAACATAGATAGACAAACATAGATACAAAGAGATACTCTATTAACAAATACAAACAAGGAGAAAATACGAGTTTGGGTGGGGCGAGGGGAGTGATGGGCAATAGGATTTGGTTGAAAGATGTCCTTAAGTTACCGGATGTTGGTAGTAAATGCGATCGAGCTCTTAGTAGAAACATTGGCTAAGAAAATATCAGACTTGCCATCAGAAATGCGGAAATGGTAGACGTAAATTAGCAACATACTAAATACGTCAGAACTCTGTGTTCGTTTCGTTCGAAGGACCTTTGGCACCGACAAGATATCCGGTAAAAAAGGCAGCTCTGTCGCGATATTAGTAATGAAGGACAATGCGTCTCCCTTGCATTTGCACTTCTGATGTTAAAAATAGAGGCAGGTTATTTTTGCGCAAAGGGTTGCAAAACAAAGGGTATAACTTGCACAAACATTTTCTAATATAACTTTAAACAGTATATGTTCATGTAATATGCCTATTCATATTTAATGTTTATTGGGAAATAGGACAGAAATAGACGCAGACGTGCAAATTAGGGGCAAAGCAAGTTTCTCAAATGCAAATAAAAAATGAAAGCTTCTAATGTCTTGTCTGTAGGTGCATCACCTAAAAATCCGGTACTTAACGTCGCGTAGAGAATTCTAGCGACCGGCTGTTCTCATCGTCAGTTTTTTGTGATTTGACCAATCAATACAGGGAGAATACCGGAGCAGTAGCATAACAAACAGGTCACGGAGTGCGGGCTATCTTTCCTTCATCTTCCTTGCCTATCCTCACTCCTTACTTACACACACTTACAGGCAGTACACTACCGCACAGGCCGGGAGCTTGGAGATTCCCCTCTAATGGAGATATTTGGATTGGAAAAATCTCGCAAGCTGGCGTGAAGGTTGGCACCGGATTATGCTATCCACTACATCTAACTACATCAACTACACCTATGGAACTAACGGCGGTAAGAGTTGCCGCATCCGGAAATATGAAATAATCATGAAATTTTGAGAGGGGGCCACGGGTCCCGATTATGCGTCTGGCTATGCGTATGAAGTTTGTTAAGCATACCTGTATTACACCGCCACCAGGGCTGTCCGGCTGAAGGTGCAGAAAGCTCTCTGGCAAGTTTATAGCTCGCCCCAGCCAGTTCATAACTATGGTCTCAAGCTCTGTACACGCCGGACTTGATGCCTAGACAGAAAATAACAATTACATTTACATAATTAAGAAAATGTCATTTTGAAGAACGTGGTTTTATACACAGCGAAGCCGTTTATTTTGTGGCAACACAAATTGTTTCTTTTGAGCGCTACCTTTATGAACTTACTACTTATGAAGCGCTACTGTTCTAGAGACTTTACACAGGTCGCTTCCCTTTTCTTCAGTTGTCCTTCCGCGCCTACTGCTGCTTCTTCACTGCTCTAGGACTGAATTTCACGAAAGATAGGTGATAAAAGAAAAGAGGAGAGGGTAGACTACATAACATGGGTAGTGAGTTTACTATACTTAATTTCCGAAATTGATTGTTTCTGGTATATTCGAACTAAACTACATTCTAAAACTATTACTTCAGAATTGCCAGGCGTCCCTTTAGAGTTCCTTTTAAGGGACATATTTGAAAGTAATGTCCCGCGTCCCATAACATTCTTTCCCTGTACGTCACATTGCTGCATTGCACCTTCTTTCAAAGCTACGACGATATCCACGTCTCCACGAGGCGGCACCTCAACTCCAAGGCGGAAATTAGCTTTTCACAGGTGCAACACGGTGTAGATTACAGCATTCTTTCGTTACTTTGCACCCTTTCACTAACTTAAAAGCGTGTGTGCTGCGTACACATTTGTGTTGGATAATTGATTAAAGATGAGTGTCAAATGCGAACTAGGAGATCCTGATATTAAGAATCCCCAAGGAAACCCAACCCTCTTTCTTTCTTTCTTTCTTTCTTACAGAGGCTTCATTTAGGCTTGAGGATCTTTTATATGCAGTAAATCTACTAACATGGGACAGTCGTCTTTACTTCCTCTCAGTACCAAGGATTTTTTTCTCCATCAAAAATCCACGGCTTCGATCGGGTTTGAAATCGCGAACTTGAGTATAACTGTCCGATACGCTAACCGTTTCATCATCGCCTCCGTGAAATTAGAAATAGAAAAAATAGTTCTGTTTGCTGATGACACGAATATTCTTTGCCAAAAAGTAAACAATAAATGGTAAATAAATTGGAAAACGATTATTCGAATATTGGAAAACGATTATTTGACATTCCCGAAAGAGCTCAAGAAAATGTACACACAATGAAGATACATTTATATCCAGAAGGAAAACGAAGGGTCAAAATCAGGAAACTGGACGAAAAACCTGATCGAAGTTCGGGTCATTGACACAGAAGCTGAGGTACCAAACTTGTTACAGACACAGTCTTCTTTTAGAATTATACAATCCAAATGGTAACTAATACATTAGATATTTATTGTTAGAACTCGTTCGAATAGCACGGGGAACAGGCAGAAATGTCATGACTAGGGAACTGATTTAAATGTAATGTCATTTTTTCCTTTTCAATTCAGAACAATGCCGTTTAGTATAGAAATTAATTTTATATTATGACAAAACGAAATGACCGATTTTTATAGGTCAATGTTTTAAATTGTTTGGTGATTTCAACTAATAAGTAATTTTTTACTTTTTCACGTAATTTTCACTGCTTGTTTACTGATTTAATCGGATTTGATATAGTTTTAATGGTACTTGCTTCAAACAATATTTACGAGGTGCACCAAATATTCACCCCAGAATTCCTGAGTAGCCTATTCGAATTTGTTCGCTCATATATTGTAATGTCAGACGTTATGAGTACTATGTTATCTAAGGTTTCTATGACGTTTATCGGCCATTGAGAGTTCGTCCGATTTCGCGATAAATAAAGGCAGAGACTTCCTTTTCAAGAACAGTCTAAACCCAAAGTTAGCAAGCTGAGTTCACTTGAACAAAAGGTTGAAGCCTTGATTACATCAGTAACATATTCAACAGCTTGTTCGTCTGAAATAGTGTTGATAAACATTTTAATGCATTTTTTCTTTGGTTTTAGGGCATTTAAAAGCATTTTAAGAACATTTTATTAATCACTTTTGTCAATGTTTTAGGTCATCAAAATGTGCTCCCTAGTCATGACGTAATTGCTGCCGAACCACCAAATGAATGGGAATTGTGACGGGAAAATCGTTTGCAAATGGGTCCCGCGTCTCCTCTCTACCTATTCCGCAGCATAACCTTTTTGGTCACCGATAGCAGAATCTTTTGGGTGTTCGGATCTTAAGAAGCATGTTTTCAAATAGTGGTTTGCCCAAACCCGTACTAGGCGGTACCTAGAGTATTTTTCTAAGCGAGCCACTAGACTCCGGGTCGTCTGCGAGTTCTCGAAAGTAAAATAGCATATTGCACTCTCCGCTGTCTCTAAAAGTTACATAAACAATTTGGTTCTACTGAAATGCAGTCAAACCAAATTGAGCCGAGGGCAATTCATTTGAAACAGACACCGCGGCTGCCATCTCATGCACCAGCGACACGAAGCCATCACGTCTGTATGCAAGACAGCTTTCCGCCTACCTCTAAGGTGCTAACTTCATCATTACGTTGAGATAGCCCTTTCTGATAAACATTGAGCAGTGCTGTGTGCGTCAAGCAGCAAAATGGACCCTTTTGCCGGCAACATAACTCACTTGGCTTTGATTTGTATCCTGAAAGTTTTCAGCCACAGTAAAGGAATGTTTGTGCATGTATTCATCTAAGATGGACGTCATTGTAGTATGCAGGTGAGTCACGTAACTTTAGCATCTCCTGTAATTTTCGAACGGTTGAAGTTATTGCAATGCAGTTTTCACAGAAGTTCATGAAGGAATAGAGTTAATTGATACGTGTATTCGTTTGTATTTTAACACTTGTATTTTACGAGATATTTGTGATAACTTTGTTTTTCAAATAGAACTATACATTTTTAGTCTATCGTGACGAGCGTAAAAGGATGAATCCAATGATCCATATTGTCTGGAAGGCTTGTCCAGGCGAGATATTGACGTTGCAAATGGATATCGTGATAGTACGTACATTTATACGAAAACAGGATGTCTGAAGACTGGTTCGCGCGACTAGTTCTTTGGACACTACGGAGTCTCTGACAAATGCAGCTCACGGACACGGATGCCATTATCAACGCCTTGCCTATAAGAACAAAAGCTGCGAAGATATATATATATATATATATATATATATATATATATATATATATATATATAGAGAGAGAGAGAGAGAGAGAGAGAGAGAGAGAGAGAGAGATGTAGAGATGTTTCCTGAAGGAAGATAGCAACGGGTCTATATTGAGAGATTATCAACTTATGTTCGTCTAGCCGAGTTCGAAAGTCATTGAGATTCCACGAGAGGAGAGCCATGATTTTGAGGTGTTGAGATTTTTTCTTTCTTTCTTCTATATTGATTCGATGTTGGGTTTGATTTCCTCGTCTGTGGTAATGTGGCTGAGCTCATTTACGGCTCCTCGGCAACTGCAGAATCGTCTTGACTGCTGCTGAACACGGACGCATGTGTGTTCACGATCTTTTGATGCATGTGTGTTCACGGTCTTTTGATGCGGGATCTAGTAGTTTGCATTTATCTTCTCGTTTAGTCTTCTCTAATATAGATCTCTTGTGATTTAATTTTCTAGTGAATATTTCTCAGTGTTTTGTGCTAATTGTTCGTGCTAGTCGATGTTTTAATTTTATTTTGCTCAAAAGAATTGCATGATCACTTTCTATGTTTGCTGAGTTTAATGTTCCCACATCTAGAATTTACGTTGGCATAAAATGTCTATTAGTTATTACATAATCAATCATTGACTGCTGCCCTTGAAAACCAAAAAAAAATGTATACTTATACTTAAAGTCATGATCAAGGAAGGTATTATTAATATGCAAGTTTATTTTGAGCACAGAAGTCAATTAGGTGATCTCCATTATCATTACTAACATTCTCATGGAATCATTGTTTTACTCCATCTAATGGATTATTCCCCACTCGCGCATTCAGATAGCCTGATATCAGAGTATATTGATTTTCAGGTATTTTGTCAGTTAGGGTTTTGTAGGTCTTCATCAAAGGCTTCGTTTTTCTCTAGGATTGACCATACCTGCAGCACACACGCTAATAATACGGGTACATATTTCATTTATTTTCTACCATTCGTCGAAAACATTTATTTGAACGTGTCATCATTCCGTTAGCCGAGGCGAGGTCTAGCAGGTCTCTCTCTCTCCGAAGACGGGCGAGCGGTTGGTCACACCACTCTGCGGTGCTTTCCGCGGGGACACAAGTGCCATAATCCTCTTTTTGGGGAACTGATTCATATTCGCAATTGCAATTGCAACACTATCCACTTCGACAGTTACTAAAATAAAATAACAATCTCTTTACGAGGAGATCTGGCTGTAAGCAAACGATGAGTTTCCGCGAAGCGATTATGAAGGGACACAATTTCCTTTTTTGTTTCCTATTGTAAACATCCGATTAAAAGATGAAACAAGCACGCGAGGTTAAGAAAGTTTCTAATACTAAAAGTTCTAAAAGATGAAGCAGTAATTCTTTATCTAAACCAATACACTATGTGATCAAAAGTATCCGGACACGTGGCTGAAAATGACTTACCAGTTCGTGGTGCCCTCCATCGGTAATGCTGGAATTCAATAGGGTGTTAGCCCAACCTTAGCTTTGTTGACAGCTTCCACTCTCGCAAGCATACTTTCAATCAAATACTGGAATATTTCTTGGGGAATGGCAGACCATTCATCATGAAGTGCTAAATTGAGGAGAGGTATCGAGGTAGGTCGGTGAGGCCTGGCACGAAGTCGGCCTTCCAAAACATCCCAAAGGTGTTCGATAAGATTCAAGTCAGGACTCTGTACAGGCCAATCCATTACAGGGATATTATTGTGTAACCACTTCGCCACAGGCCGTGCAGTATGAACAGGTGCTCGATCGTGTTGAAAGATGCAATCGCCATTCCTTAATTGCTCTTCAACAGTGGCAAACCAGAAGGTGTTTAAATCATCAACGTATGGCTGTGCCATGATAGTGCCACACAGAAGAAAAGGTGCATGTCCCCTCCTTGAAAAAAATGACCACACCATAACACCATTTTGAACGTGTCCGGTTACCTTTGACCATATAGTGTGTATTGGAAAATCTGCTCTGGGGTCCATTATTGATTCCTTCCCCATTGGATGCGACAGTTTATTTGTAGATTTCTTTTACATTAAAAAAGTTAGATTGATAAGGGTATTATCTTTCAGAAGTTGGAAACTCACTTCGATGAAATCAAGGCAAGCTTGCGTGAAATTATCCTTCATTATGTACCTCCTTTGAATATTGTTGCAGGGTCAATTTACCCATGTTTATTTCTTCTGTATACGTAAGCAACGTTTAATTTTTTGGCTGTCGTAACTATTACGGATTCGCAGCACAGGCGCATCGTTTGAATTGGTTTGGACATTTTCAAGTGATGGCTAATGTGTAGGGAAGATATTGCAATATTTTAATACTACGTAACTGTTCCCAATTATAAAGAAAGTATGTGTTGTAGAACAACTAGTTCATTTTAATAATCACTTTTTCCTGGAAGAACTATTTAAAAACATATAAAATTATTCTGCAGCCTTATTTTATAGTAAAACTACTTAACAAAGATTGGTATAGTGAATGTTAGAACGACTACCAACTCATTCACTTTAGAGAGAATAGTGCAAATATAAAAGAAATTAAGAATACTTACCCACGTGAAACCCAGACAATTGATTGCGTCAGCCAGCATATCTCCAAGTAGCGACGGGAAGGAGTTCAGTGCAGGAAAGTAGGCGTGCATGTGCGGGCTCTGCCAATGTGTCATCTGGACATGAAGCAAAAACAAGCAATGATCCTTAAAATTATCCACGTAAGTTTCCGAAAAATCACAACAGTAAACGTAATAACACTCAATGTCTTCCAAAGGAAATTCATGTCATTTGGACAGAGTTACAAATAATCATAAATGAAGAAAATGTCTTATGCATTTCGAAACATTAGTTGTCAGATAATAATGATGGGTTTTTCAATGTTTTACTCCCCAGATGTAATTTCCGAGAGTAGAACTCGAATAAAGATGCCTTTTACGAAATTTCTTATTTCCTTTAAAATATAATACCATTTTAATTTATTTCCCAAGTCAATTAAACTAGAAAACATAAATTGTTTTAGGTAAGAAAAAATATTTCTGATTTTTTTAATTGTTGCGCCTTTTTTGCATCTACGTCTCTTAGCCACCGTTTGGGCATTGAGCGTGTAATCCTCCGTTAAAATTGCCTTTATGTCGCGCAACGTCGCAGCCATTGCCTTTCATCCCTTAGCCAGGGGCTGGATACCGTTAGTTAACGGGGATCTCAGGCGGTTTCCTTTCCAGGAATCTGCGGTGTCTCGAGATACTTAAGTTTCGTGACGTCATGGAGCGTATTTATAACCGGACCGGCTGATTTTGTGCTTATAATTAGAAATATTTCCTAGAAGAAAGTTTGATCGAAAAACAACTGTTGTACTTGGAAAAACCCGTTTCTCGAATAAATGAAAAAGAAGCTCCGAACTTTTCTACTAGGGCTGTGACATGAATGTAACACTCACTGTGATAATAAACTGATCGAGAATTCCAATCGGAAAATATCTATCAGAACTCTCGGGTATTAGTTAGTTTCCCTTTCAGGGCATCCTCTCGATGAATCCCGATCAGAACTGACAGAACGATGAATCCCGATCAGAACATACTTTTAGTCGATTTCTTTTAAGGAATTTCGCCTAGAACTGACTAATTTTACTCAATTCTTCTTTCAAGTATCCTCACTCAGAAATGACTATACTATACCTTCAGAGGAATCCCGAATTCAGATCTACTGCCTGAGGTAGTTCAGAGCCAGCATTGCCATTGCAGCGATTCAGGCTAGGAGGTCCGAGTGTAGTTTCTAGATCAAATTCAGCCGCTGTCTGGACGATAATTCTAGCGTCCTGCTGCTCTGATCATGATTATCCGTGGCCTTTCCGATCTATGCTAGGCGACTACCCAGGAGGTACCCTAACGAAGGCCAGTATCAAGGTCCTCGCGAGAGATTTCTTTCCTCTTCTTTGTCCTATCCTCACCCGTTACATGCTTACATCCATCGCACTACATCACATTCCGGGAGACCATTGGGAAATTTCGAGTTAGCCCCCGCCTGAGTGTGATATATGGTATTGCAATTGGCGTAACATCGTGCAAGTCAGTGAATTAAATAATGGAAAATCGCAAAGTGTAAAGTCACGTAGTGAAAAAAAAACATTTGCGGAAGATAGTAAACTGTGCCGTAACTGTGCAGGAATGTTAACGATGCTGTTGGGATAGCTCCCCAGGAATTTCTGTTTTGGTTTGCTTTTTTTAAAATTTCTGTAACTTGTAGAAGAGCGTCCCAAGTCCTATTGGCGTCCGTTGGACGGGAGGCGTAATTCTCCTTGAGCGAACATTATGTCAGTATCATTACTTACATCATCACAGTCAGTCACGTTATATCTCAAGTCAACTCAGCCATTTCCTTTATCCCCATCGGTCAGAGGCCCAGAAGTGTAAGAATCAGGGATTCCCTGGCGGTCACCCATCCAGGAACCTGCGGTGACTCGTGCTAGTTTACTTCCGTTATCGGCTCAAGAAAGGTACAGGAGTGAAACCGGGGTGGCGCATTATGCGACTGATTAAGGGAAGGCTTAGGTCCTTTCATAGGTCAGCAATGGAGGCTGCCTTTAGCAGACGGTGAAAATCCCCACGGGTTAACACTTAAACTGCCGACGTGCCATTTTTGTCCCATTTCGTTTTTCATGTGCTTATATCTATTAGATATATTTTAGTGGAGAAATCGTTGCGTAGCTGAATTTTCTCATTTTTCAGATGTAATGTCTATAAAAAGTTTCAACATAGAGGGGTTTTTAGTATCGTAGAAAAACCACGTTCTACCTAGCACCGCCACCGTTCCATTTTTGTCCCAATGTGAATTATTTCTTTCGGCCATATGAATAATCCGTGTGCAATCTTACCGCCTCTCTCAGTTCTGAATGCTTCTTTTACTTCATTAATTCGATAAAACATCATAGATAGTCGCATTTCTGGAACCTCTAGAGGTGTTCATATACTGACACTTCGCATATTTTTGCCTTCCCCAATACTGGAGAAAATAAAAGATCGCAATGGTATAAATAATGTGTAGCTTTTTGTTGTTTTTTAACGGTTTGGGTCTAAGACTTATTCCAACGTATTACGTTCTTCCTGGTGAGAATAAATGCATAGTTGTATGTGATCTGCGTGTTATATCGGAAGGTCATGCACATGCACTCTACAGTAACATTCAGAGTTCTACGTACATACAATCTACGGTAACATTCAACTCTACAGTTGGTTTCAGAGTGCATGGCAAATAGAATGTCAGAACTCTTATCTCAAACTCACGAGGATCAAGAACTCCGTAAAAACCTAGTCTTAGTCATCTCAAGGTGCGAGGAAGTAATTCTCATTTGCCTTCGGTTCGGGTTCTGTCACCTCTCGCACGGACATCTCTCGCAGTGACCCCCTCCCCCATTTGCGAGAAATGAATAGACCTTACCGTAGAGCCTGATCTTGTGCGATATACGAAAAATCGGAGAAGCCATCGCCTTGCAGACTCTGGAGGAGATGCTGAGTAAACACGAACGCTCTCTCCACAAACTATTTAACTTTCTGCGAGAAAATGAATTTCTATTCTAATCTGAGAGAGGAGGATGACGTTTAATATGCCATTTGTAAACTTATTTTTCATTGTTCATGTAAAACTGCCTTAGTCAGTTATTTCATTTTACTATACACTTTACTATATATTTACTCATTTTATGTTATAATTAATAAAATTTAGTTTAACTGACACATGTTCTTAATACAAATTGATACGGACTCCAGTAACCCTAAAATGTTTAAGCATTTAAGCACCCTTAAACCCCAAACATAATCATTCCGTCACATCTTTTCAGACAATTTTGCCAATAATATTGCACTAGGCAATTGTCTAGATGCTTGAGCACAATGTCCGTTTCTTTTAGATACTTCGATAAAATATGAAGTTGTATTTCGTATAAATAATAAAGAGAAATGATATTTTTACGGTTTTAGGAGCTTGCGAGGTCGTTGAAATACGGAATCGTTACCACAGTCCTGTATCGCACGCGCATTTGCTCTCGCGCCAGACCGTAGGGCGTCTGAACTTTATTCGTCCTCCGGGGTCGTCAGAATTGAAGTGCTTTGTTGATCTCTGTCTTGTCCATTCTTTTTAGATAATGTCCATGGAGGAGTCTGTCCCTCTATGATTAATTTTATATTTTTGTGTTTTTCATTTGAAGCATCAACAATTCATTGTCTGATATTGTATGTGTCTTGCATTGTTTACTTTCTGGTTGCACTTACTAAGAATCAATTCCTATTCCTTTGAGTTGATTTAAAAGTCGCCGATGCCATTCCGACACCCGAAAAACATCAGCGAGGGAGGGGTCAGCTGCCGTACAGCAAAATATATTGCAAAATAATTGAAGGATATTTTTATATTGGAAGCGCTCATTGGAGAAATCTTACATTTTCACATATTTTAAGAGATAGAAAAAACGATTTGCAAGAAGACTTATCAATAGGGAAAGGATTTTAAGGTGCGGCACCTTTTCACAAATATAGCTGTTTCCATACTAATAGTTCAATATGTGTATTTGAGGGGATGAAAAGAAGCAAAATAAATACAATTTACTGCACTTTTTCATGAGATGACTACATTTTACCACTTTTTTCCTCTTTTTTTATGCTTCATCACCTTTTCTCCATTCTATTCTCAGTTTTTAAACCACTGGACAGAAAAATGTATTTTTTATCTTCGTCAACAGCGTTTTAAAATCTCATTTAATCAGGAATCAACAACTTACATAAATATTAAAATATGTTTTACGTAAACCATTAGTAATTTATATCCCAGCAATAATGGTTAATCTGCAGCTGTAAAGTTAAATTTAAATGTCAACAGTGTTGCTGCAACAAGTTAACCCGTTCCCGCTGGATTTAAAGTGCTGCCCAGGCAGACAAATCAGGACATTTAAATGGGTGTGCAGAAATCCACTTGTCTGTGACATGAGGAAAATATTTTTCCTTGCCATCGTATCGCCGACAACACTAAAAGAGCACTGGCTGCGTTTGTGGATGTGGAGGGGAAAGGAGAGGCAGGGGAAGCAAAAGCACCGAGCTTCCCACGCGGGCAAGTGCTCGTGCGGGCGCAGTTTGACGTGCCTGCGAAGTACGTTCTACTAAGCAATCGGCGGGAAAAATAAGTTAAATCAGTAATGTCAATTGTTTAACACTTTTTTATCTATACTTCGATTTATTGAGAGATGGTTGTGACAGGTCGTCAGCCGTCATGGTGTCATCCAATCGGGAGCTTACACGTCACTACAGTAACGTCACTATGGTGGCATTCAACCTCCCGATTGACACGCGAACAGCTGATTTACGTCAGGGGCAGTTATGTTTAAATCCAAGTGTACTACAATGTTTGATAAAGTACTATAAATGACCTCTTACGGACTGTATAAAGAAGCCAAATTTGGTGTAAAATGATAGGGTATATTCTAGAAAGTAATTGAACTGGTTTAAATCTTAATACAGTTGGTTCAGCAGCACCTTTTTTGGGCCTTTTTGTATATATTTTCATAATCTTCCTCCCCTTTTACGACCATAATTATCAACTCAAAATCCTTTCCCCATGTATAAACATTTTATTTTGTAACTTTTTCTGTACATGCATTTGCAGTTTCTGAACGTAATATACCACAAATTAC